GAGACTGAAATGGGATTAGAAGGAGCAATGAAGAGCGGATTTGTCCCGTATATGGCAGGGAGAAGTTTGGAATCACATATTGAGATGTAAAGAAATAGGATTTGGGTGGAGCAGATTTCGGACAAGGGATGCATGAACATAGATGCAGAAATAAGCATTAGGAGGATGGAAGAATAAAGAGTAATGGCAGAGAATAGGAACATATATGGATAAATATGAAGAGAAATGGGACAGGATGGCAAGAACGAACGAGGATGAAGTATAACTAAATTTAGAGATGTAGTAATCAGCAGGATTATCAACAGGGCGTACGTAAATAAATTTTAATGTACGATTACAACATATGTGTTCTGTACTATAGGAATTGTATTTACACAGGATGACAGAATATAGTTTCAGGGAGTCAGACTCCCGCACTCCTAAATATTAATTGTTACAGACCTACTAAAATATTCATTAAGAATTGTCACGAATAAGGGGAGTTTGGCTGCGTGTGACTTATAAGACGGGTTCTGGATCGGATGATTGGATTTGTTGACACCTCACACACCACAACTTGAGATTACAGGCACTTACAGCGCTCTCCTTGATCTACACACTAGGGTTCTCACTCTTCACTAGTCTTATCCTGGCAACGGATTTTTAACAGTTTCACTGTAACTTCAATCACAAATCAAGTCTTCTTTTCACAGTACAATTACTTTCTTTGCCATTTCTTCTCAATCACTTTCGACTGCCGTCTCCAGAACACGACCCGATACTCGACACAAATCTCAACTTCACTGCTCACTCAAATACTGAACTCTATCAACTTCTGACAACTAACTCTTCTCACCTGAACCCTTTATATAACCACTTTGCACGGTCTACGCAGATAACACAGGGTTTATTATTAAGGAGGCGTATTAACTGATCCGTTGCATAGCACTGGACGTCTTATTGCGCGATATGTCTCCCACGAGAATGTGTTTACCGAGCCGTTGCCTATCAATGGGCCTGTACATCACAGTATAATACGTTCACGTAATTAAGAAATTTGATCGAACAAGTTGGTGTAGCGGTGACGCTATAAACCTGTATTCGGGAGGGCTCGTTTCAAATCTGGGTTGGGATACTGGCTATCCTGGCTGAGGATATTTGGATTTACTAGCTCTCACAAGCCACCTGCCAGGATGATACCGCGATGAAGTATGGGTCGCTCCCTGTCAAGTCCATTCCCGTTCAGCAGTCATTCTACAAGTCAACGGTATCCAGCCTAGACACTGAAATGAGGGAAGAATAACATGCAGAAAGTACGATTTTTGAACTCATATGTGAATACGGTATCTGCACAAGACAGACACAACGCGAATACACGTTCCATTACACTTCGATAAATAGGTGTTTGTTTGGCTCTATTTCTATCATGAATATTCTACGCTGTGCGTATTGACGTGTGATACTAATTGTCATAACACAGTGTGACTAATAATATGTTGTCAATACAACGGTAACAATAAACTGTTCTCTGTTTGTTAAAATTGTTGACGTCAGTTAATTGAATTTACTGATTCTTCAATGGCTACAAATCAGTAATATTCTCCTGTGTGTCCAGCTCCAATTTGCAATAGACCCTACTATATTCCGATATCACAGAGCAGTTCGGTATGGTGCTAACGCTTTAGACCCACGTTCGGGAGGTGCTTTGATTGAATTTGGGCTAGAGCAGCAACTAACTTCACAGGATTTTCGTGGTATTCCTCAGTCTATTCAGATAAATGCTGCAGTAATACGTAAAGCAAGCCATGGATGATTCCTTGCAGATCCTTTCCAATTCATCAACCATTAATCATCTAACCATTAAACGCTATATGATCTGGATACTGAGAGTAGCGCCATAAGGTAACCCATTGGCACACATACACATATACAAATTATTCCATGATATTTTTAGTACAATGGTCCCTGTGTTTAGGAGTATTTAAGCACCACACCATGAACCTCCACACAGATTTATTCTGGATACTACACTCATGTGAATGGACAGCTACACGTCACGGCTGCCTAATTTCCGGGTATTCCAGCCGGTAACGAGCCTCAGAGCCCATTCTGGGATCTGGGGAAAAAGAAACACCTCACCCCGTTTCCTTGGTTGTCCATTTCGCAGCCTAGTCGCAACGCCGACTGAAGTAGGTGTACTTCCATTCTAATAACCTGTCAGGTTAGGCGTATATTAAACCAACATAGAAATGCGCTATAATATTAATGGAAAAGTATATTGAAATGTTTTCGCTATTAAAATAAATAAATTATAATTCTGCCAGAACTATAAGTGGAAAGTTCCATTGGGTTAAATACATCTACTTAATTAGGTACATAATTACTAGCAACTTATTAGGCAAATCATGTGATCTGAAGTAATTATGCATATATTCCACGAGGAGTGTATATTGATCCTCATTATAATTGCTTCAACAAATCATACCAAATTTGGGTCACCCGGCTACGCTTTCGAACTCCACAGATGTCAGTCCTGCAGAGTAAGGAGTGAAGACATGTTCTTTTTTAATTCACTTTTTCCGTTCATAAAAGATTTCGGGTACTTCCATACAAGAAGCCAAAATCACTTCCAAACACGTCATTCATATTATAACGTGTATGGATGTGACTCTCGACGGGATTTTGAGTTGGATATTGAAGTTATTGACCACTTATACACTCACGACTCGTGACTGCACTTTACACACAACCTAAGTCTTTTCCGGGTGCAGTGCCTTCACTAGTAACCTTGTAACGGCTCCATCAAGGGCTATTCCTCTGTTTCCGTGCTCAAGTTCTCTCTGAATGGAGGCTCCCTTCCAACTGAAGTCGCTACTAAACGTGTACCGGTTATAACATTTCGGCTTGTAGCAACAGAAAGCACAGCTCTTCTATTACTGCTGAAGGAAATCCTTGGGAACGTGTTTTCTTGACAAGGCTTTACCCAGTAATGGCTCTGGTATAGTTTCTTATCTCACGGCCGTTGCCTAGTAACGACTGTACACGCTGCATTGCTCTCTGTTCGGACGGATAGCCTACAGGCGTACTGCCATTCCTTGTTTTCCGAGGGCTGTGTTTGCCACGTGTGTGCCTGGTCTCAACTTCTTCCCCGTGGATCGGTTTTCATGGTGATTACTCTCCAGCCGCTCCGGCTGCTCCCAACTTAAGGCAGCTCGTCCCGAGCAGTTCCTTCATAGTGTTCCAGCCGGCCAAGTTTTATCACCGTCATCCTGCTTTACCGCTGCTCCAATATCCGTGGCTCTTATTGTGTTGTTAGTTCTCTCTTCTTTCGTTTCGGAGAGGGCCAACCGGTCCACAGTGTTCTGACACCCATTTCCCGCAGTCTAATGGAAGTCCCGACTATTTGCTTTGCGATCCCCAGCTCCACGGTCTGCTTGCAAATATTGTTGAGTGTTCTCCTGCTTCCCAGACGTAATCACTCTTTTAGGGCTCAGTTCTTTAAGCTGTTTTTGCACTCCGGTTGTGTACGACGTCTCTTCCCGAACGTCCGTCCTTTCTGAGCTCCTTGCGCAACACTGTCCTTGCCTGGTCTCTGCCTACCATGTCCCTTACGTCGTGCAGGCGCGGCACATGGTCTCCTATTTTACAGCAGCATGTAGTGCTGAAAGTGGATATCGCACCCTAGATGACCAGAATCTCAAAAGTTACGACCCGACACCTAGAAACTTATACACATCCTTCCTAATTCATCTATCTTACCTAGAGTCCATCGTTGTCTGTCTAACGTAGTTGAAGACGGAACTTCGGAATGACCTTAAACAAGTGCAGAGTATTTAGTTTGATGCTTGTCAGGGAACAGTATTTCTCAGTCCTGCAATATAACCAGTAGAATGCAGTTTTCGGTAGAAACTGAAGCTAAAATTGACAAGCTGTTTGGCATAAACACGCGAAGCACGTGACCATAACTAACTGAATCTAACTCGCTGTAGTAGAATCGTTTCTCAAGATTCTGATGTTCACTCAGCTAGTTGTATTGACAACGTTTCCAAATCTGGTTCTCAACTGGATTGAGTGAAATTATATTGTGATCATCCTGCGTAACTCTAGGATTTTGCAGGTTTGGGGGCGGGGGGTCAGCGTTCTGTTACTCAGTTCTACATTGTGTAAATTTTGAGGTTTTCACAGAGGTGAATATGAAGCATGTCGTTTTCTGTGTTGTGGGGCCGTGTAGATATTGTGTGAACCAACGTTTCGGAGGAACGTAACACCTAAATCTCCAGGGTAGAAAAATCCACGAGCGAGGAACCAGCGTGAGCAGGTGTCTGCAGACTGCTTCTCCTTCATGCGTTCTACATGTCCTGCCATCTCGTCGTCTTTGACTTGGTCATTCTAATTGTATTTGGCGAATAGTATAAGTTATGAAGCTCCTCATTACGCAGTTTTATCCATACTCCTAGTATTTCCTCCCTCTTCGGTCCAAATATTCTCCCCAGCACCCTGTTCACACCCTTAGTATATATTGTTCCCTTAATGCTGGATATCAAGTTTGACATCACAACTTAATTTAATTTATGGCCCTATACAAATGTACGTTCTCTTCCCATCTCAATGGTGCTTGTTATTTTAGATCATCTCTCTTGACGTTTGGGCTGCTGTCAGCAAACAGACTAGCTTATATATCTGCGTTTATTTCTTTCTAACTTCCGGCTTTGTATAATAGGCTCTTTTTTCGTTTTACCACTTTATCTCACGTCATCAGGTCATGCAGGAAGGTATTGTGACAACCCAGGCATAACTCTTTGTAGATGAGGGCAAATATTTTATAAAATGAAGCGCACGTTATAAAGAATCTTTATTGTGCTGTTGCTCAGAAATTGACAGTTTCATGAAGTCAGAAGTCAGTATCTCCTTACACAGGCGTGACTTCAGCAACATCAGTTCCCGTTAGATAGCTAAACATCTGTTCCCCCAGATAGCCATAAAAATGACAAAAAAAAATAGCCTCATGTGTTCGTACTTACTTTATAGCTTTGACCATAGACAGCCCCATATGGACACAGAGCACGGCGTGGTCTGGCCTTTCTCGTGGAGCCCCGCTGATGCAGTAATAGCAGTCACCTAGTATCTTGATCCTCAGCTGCTGGTAGCGCTGCAACAAGAACAGATTATTTCTTTTACTTGCAACATTTTCTTAGTTCCACTCGCAGAGCTACTTGGGACAGCATTTCAGTCGGTAACTAATTACCACATTAAGATGCCTCACACAGCGTGTGATCCTGGTCAGGACTTTTATTCCTGGGCTAAATTAATTAAGCAGCACCTCATAAAGACATATTTGGGAGTGGAGGGGTAGTTCTATCGTTCTTAATCTTGGTAATATAAGAAGGTAAGTAGCCAGTTTCACGGTCCTATTGCTTTATCTCCGTGAAAACAGTCGCCGGTACGCATTGTACTCGTATGGGGACTGGGCGGGCCCCAGAGCCCGTCTGGAAGCAATGGGGAAGAGAAACATCTCTTGCCTCTACCAAGAATGGACCCCCGATTCCTCGGTTTTCCTGTCAATGGCTTCGTCGCTATACTGGCCGAATATCCAAGAAAGCGAGAACTTATACTTGTATGCTTTGCACCGTCTTGTGAATATAGAGTCAATGTTTATGCACCGTCGCACAACACGTGATTGTGGCCGCTATACGTATAATAAGGGATCGCACTGGATGTAACATTTCAATACTACATAACGCACCACAGTGAATTAGTATCTACAAATTTAATTCTTACACCACATCTACATGAGAAACATGAAACATCTCATCCGTATTTCATTTCAGGAGATTAAAAGCATGCCAATCCACAACAGCGCATATTCAGTACTGCAAAACTTGAATTACTACTATATATACTTAATATCCACACATCGACGTGTAAGTAAATAAAACCACATAGAACTAAAAAACACACCAAAGTTAATATTCCATAAATCTTTCTCCTGCCTATTGTAGATACACGTGTGCAAGACACAGAAAAGAACGCGGTGGTCTTGTAAGCATAGCAGCGGTAACACTACCTGCAGCAACGCTACACGCAATTGTATAGGAATAACACCAAAAATCTTGTGAGCTGAGTTAGTGTAGTTGCTATAGCGACTGCCTACGGGTTGGACGACCGAGGTGTCAGAGTTCGAGTCCTGGTGGGGTCAGAATTTTCTCTTCTCCTTATCGTCCAGGCCGGCTCTGGGGCCCAGCCAGCCTCATATCCAATAACTAATGGAGGGGGCTCTTTCCCCAAAGGCGAAACAGCAGAGGCGTGAAGCTGACCACTCACCTCCAGCTGTAACTATAACACTGTCACTATTTTCGACAATTTAGAATCACTACAGACATGCTAGGTTATTTCAGTCTTCTGTCTAAAGTCAAAGTGAAAGTTACTTTACGACTGACGGTTTACCGCCAATCAGTTCGTCTTGGCGCGAAGCCCCTTGAGAAACATGATCAGAGATTTCTCTTTTCCAACTGAACTCTTACGGTAATAGTCTCTATACGAGTATAACATCTTCTATCACGAGAAGATGGGTTTGATCTAAACTTTACTCGGTTATAACATCTAGGGACGGACCCCCTAGTAAACACCGTTCTATGTTGCACTCCATTCTTGTCCGTGGGATCCAGTTTGTTTGCCAAGGCGTTACACGGTAACCGCTCCGTAGCAGCGGGTGTTGTTTCATGATTTGTTTCGAGGTCGTTACCTAGTAATAGGCCTGCACGCTACAATATGAGAGTATGTGGAGCAGTGGGCACATTCTTGATGTGCAAGTTTGTTTGTGAAGGTTTTCCAGCTGTATATGAAGTTGGGTGAAGTTGTTGTAACATGTAACTGCTTGTTTGTTGATCGTTTTGTTCTGTATCAGATATTGCTAGGCCCATCAAGTCAATGGTGATGACATGGGTGGAACGTATTGCACACACGAGATGTATGAAACACGTATACAAAATTTTAGTCCGGAAAACTGAAGAGTAATTGGGAAACCTAGGCGTAAAAGGGAAGGAACTATTAAATAACTAATGAGGAAATTGCGGTTGAGGATTTACACTGGATTATTCTGAAGATTACTCTGTTATGAAAAGTTAAACCTTGTAGTATGGTATTTCGGTACAACGTTTCGGGTGGACCTATTGCCTCCGTCTTCAAAGTAGAAGAACATTTTTCTGCGTCATGATAATTTTCAGTGACGGACTCTTGTGAACTTGGTGATAAACAACTTCTATCAAATGTGAGGCGATTATGGAAAATTGTTTTTAATATAATTTTCTCGTGAGTTAGCATCCTTGTTTTCTCATGAACCGGCCATCTTTCGAAATAAAACATTTCCGTTTTTCTCGATGTAAAAGTTCCACTCTTCTTGATTGTGTGAGCCGGAGTGAGAACATAGTCTGGACTAAATTTAATATGGATACTGCATGATCAGAGCACACAGTTGCCAGCTGTTGTTACAGCTGCAGACGTTCGCACCACAATTGTTATATTATAGAATCTCCGCTTTACACTGAAATCTGCACAAAATGCATTTCCGAGTACAGAGCGCTCTAGCGGTAAATTAAACATGGACTTTAAACACGTCGCTCAATTCACGTAAAATGATGGAACCTGTGATTCATCTTGTGGAGTATTTTATTGGAATACTTGGAAATCCTTTCTTGCTTCCTTTTATTAATTAGTTTTGACTTATTTTTCTCAATGAGATGTTGCACCACAGTTCCAAACACCATTACAGGGCTCCCGAAGAGATGATAACAACTACACGTGAACTGTTGGATTTGAGGTTCTCATTGACTTTGACTAAGAAGATACTATATTATGGTGTGTGACGCTGTGACGAATAATCTTGACATGGGTCAAAACAGTGACATGTTTTATGTTTTCTAATTTTGATTTACTACAGTATTTTTAACTTGAAACAGTGGACATTTTTCGAAATAAAACAATATTTTAAAATAAGAATAGAACGCATAACAAACGAACATAATTATCATTAATCTAAACAGTAACTGCTACTATGAACCGTGGTAGCTGTCAGTATAGAGAATGGTGTTCGATTCTCGTCAGAATGTTGTTACATGCAGGAGTCTGAGCGTGACTTATAAGACGGGTTCTGGATTGGATAATTGGATTTACAGACAACTTAGTCACACAACTCGGATCTATAGGCAATTGCAGTGCTATCGCTGAGCTACCGTTACACTCGCACTAGGATTCTCAGTCTTCGACAGTCGTATCCTGGCAACAGACTTCTAAGTCTCACTATCACTTCAAATTACAAATGAAGTCTTCTTTGACAACCTAATTCCTTTCTTGCCATTATGCTGCAACCGCCAACTCGATTCAGTTCTTCTGCTCTCAAGGTCATATCCCTGCAGGCTGGCTTCTCGAAACTCCATTCTCTTTTATACTGCTCCTGCTAGCATCGGAAATCATCTTCATAAGCACTTTTCACGGACCTCTCAGAAAACACAGCTTATTATTGGGAAGGCGTCTTGACAGTGCCGTTGGATAGCATCGGAAGTTACTCTATTGTTGCCTGCGTATTTGTTGCCGCGGGAATGTTTTTACCGAGTTGTTGCTTAGCAAGAAACTTCTATTCCGACTTTCGGTAGTCATGTCACAATATTTTACTCTTCTCCAAAATACTCAGACCGGATCTGTGGTCTGCCCAGCGTCATATCCGGTGGGTACCGGGGGCTCCTTCCCGGGAACTAAGCCGCAGTTTCGTGAAACTGACCACTCACTCCCATCTATTACTGAGGTAACAGGAACTGTGCCTCCACTCCCCCATAAGCCTTCATGGTGTGGTGCTTAATTATATGGTTAAATACAGGGATAACTTTATATTTTATGCCACTATAAACATTACAATTAAAAATGCTGAATTCTAATAATTATTACTATCTTTTCCGTAAGCGGAGTCCTTCTCTATGGATAAGATGTCTGGAAGTAAACTCAACTATTTGGTTTCCTCCAATTATGAGACCAAAAATGCCTTTAGCAGCCCTTCATTCCTTCATAAGCCATCATGGCGTGATATTTTCCCTTTCCTCATTTTACTCCAGCATTATACACTAATTTTTTTATAATACTGTCAAGTGTTTGAGTGGCTGTAGTAGGGTTTTGGATTGGTAATAGGATTTATTGAACTCTTACAGAACGTAACAGCAAATAGCTATAGCGCCAACGTTAATTCACGCACTGTGCAGTTCACTACAGCACGTACGAAGTCTCCTCAGTCTGCTGTAGCTTCACCGGTTGTGACTTCGTAACGGCTTCCAAGGCTGTAGCTTCCTCAGCTTCCCTGTTCATGTCCTTACTGACCGGCGACTCTCTCACAATTTACTGAACTCCAGACTTGTCGCTTATAACACCTCGGCACGGTCCGCACAGAAAACACCCATCACAACAATTTTATATTGTAACATCACTTATCTATCGCACGGATCACATAATGAACACATCTTCCCAGTTACTCCATTGTTACGTGTTACGAATGTGTTGCCTAACAACGGGGGTCTCTGCAGAGCCTTTCCCTAGTAAAGGATGTCTCTGATGGCTCCACAGTTCTTGCCTTGAGCAAATATGTAACGTGTTCAACCAGATTGAATTTGATGTTTTCACGACGGTGACTATGGTGAATACTGTCTTCTGAGATGTAACGCCGTGTGTTCTGGTACACCTTTACAGACATTTATGAGGTACATACCGCTTCTATATCCATGCTAGAAGAATCAATAAATTGACTCTTATATTCTCAAGATAGAGGCAGAGCGTTCTTCCCCAACGTCGGTAAATTTTAACCACACTACAGGATATCACATCCCAGTATATACTAGTAGTGCTGTTCTGTAGCAATCGAGGTTATGATCTTAACCTTCTATATAAGACAACAAATGCACGGTGAGCACGAAGCACATGAGCACATTACTTTCTTACAGTGACTGATTGCTTTATTTATTCATTAGCATGAATCATTCGAATCATCAGCTGGAAGTTATAGCTGCTGTGAAAAATGTGTGTGGTTACGCTGTACGTATTTCACTGTGAACCACTTCTACACATAAAAACAATTGAAGAAACTTTGAAATCATGATTTTTCTGAACATACATGCCAAGAACTTTAAATGTCCTGGAAAGGCAGTTACATTTATTCTGAGACACTGATCGTGACAGAATAACATTCATTATGCAATGAGATATTTTCTAGAGGTATGCTATGAATTTCTTTAGACAAAAGAAGACGGTGGAATATCCGATCACCATATATCCAACTGATGTCTACTACTGTCATTATCTACTCCTATTCGTAAGTATTTGTTAATACATAACGATAGATTAGTAAGCTCTATCCATTTATACGTGAAAATTTACGATTTATTTAATGGCGCTGTCAATAGGCCAGACCATGCAGCTTCCAGATCGGTTGTCTCTGGCATTTAGTCCTTTACTGTCCTACTTTCAGCTTGTGGTGACGTTGAGGTAGCGGTGATAGGTAATATAACTAATGACGTCATTATGTTGCTTTTAGGTCGAAATTTTATAACGATGAACTGAAAAGTCTTCGGGTAAAATCTCACATTTCCGTTGAGGTTCAGTTAAATTCACTACCTTCTTATTCTGATATAGGTCATTTCAAAAGGATCATGGAATCATGAATGGCACACTTGTGAGTGAAAAAATATATTTATTGAGACGTTTAAAATGTGGTGTTAACATTCTAGAACTCTGCATTTATTCCGCAGAATGCAACGTTTAATATGATTCTCAAAATAAACAATTAGTTGCCTAAAATGGATTAACCAATGACGTTCTTAAAGGAGATTCGTAGTGTTTTTTGAGAGAATTATTGAATTATTAGCGCTGTTTATATTAAATTCATATTTTAAATCGTTAAAACAATGATGCTTTACGCTAAATTTTGCGATGAATTTAATCAGCTTTTCAATTATTAAAAGTCTTCAGGGACTGAATTGAACCTTTGAAGTCTAAATTTAATCAACACGATATTTGAAAATCCAGTTTCTGCTTCTCAGAAAATGAAATATATCTCCATTACAAAAACCGACTACTTCAAGGAAAGAGTTTTTGTTTATTTTTCAGTCATAAGCGAAATTCATTATTATCAAAAGTTAAGGCAAACTAGTGCATACAGAAACCACTGTGCTAGTACTAAACGGTAGACCAATGAAAGAACTAGTCAATATTCTCGAAGTTTTAGAACAAAATTTTAATTGAGTACTTGCCTCTGATAATCTGTCAAATCTTGCGAAGAGCTCGTTGAGTATTTTTACAAGCTCGGAAGCAGAGTATGTTGAGGATATGGCCGTGAATCCCACAATATCGGCATACAGGATGCTGCAAGAAAAGGAGTTTCACTGTTATAATGCGTAGGCAATGTCGCATGCAAGTTCTACAATTGTTTAAGCATGAAATGCTCTAGAATATAACACAATGGTTGAATGGACGATGCATATGTGCATTGATGTGAGTCCATATAACGTGCATGTATGTGTGTCTGTATTTATGTACGTACAGGGCCTGACAGAAGTCAAATAGAGCCAGGCGCCAATCAGAAATATGGGGCTCCAACTCCACTCTAAAACCACATAAGTACATTAACTTATATAATAGATTCTGTCACGTGTATTAGTGACTGTAGACAGGGTTTGGATGGGTGAGTAGATTTATTGAACACTCACAAATCGTAGCTGCAAATAATTATAATATTCTCAAGATTACTGTAACTATAGCAATCCAAATAAAGTTTGCACTGTCTGCTTACTAGTTGTTACCTGGTAACAAATCTTATCTTGTTAATGTTTCACAGCTGGATATTGAACTATTGAGCTGCCTTCTCAGTTTTCTCACGAATGAGTCTCTGACTGATTTGAGTCGAGTTTTATGTTACGACCAACCGTCAGTAGGCCAGTGTGTCTTGGAATAAAGCACCCATTTTGAGCTTACGACCAGATTTTTATTACTGTCAGACAGTTTCAGATTTCTTGACGTGGGGCGCTCACTCTGTCGAGAGGACGAGTCTATCGTTTACAATTGCTCCTGGTCCTCGCCGACGCATTCGTTTTCGGGTCCTAGTCCGGTTGGACTCGTGACTATATTTGAATGTCTCAAAGTCGAGGCCTCCTTGTTCTTCGTCACCTAAGACTCGCAGAACTACGGTGGAGGTATTCGACCCCACCTCCACAAGGGTAGTGACCGAACTGAATTAACGAATGAACTCTCTTACATAACTTCAGGAGGACTAGATAGCGGCCACCATACCGAACACTTCATATTTTGGTCTGTTGACCGTTGTAGCGTAAACTAGTGAGACGTTGCCTGGCAAATGGTCTTCTGCTTCTGTTGTTATTCTGGCTTTCGGGCAGTGTTTACGGAGCCGTTGCCTAGCAAATGGTTAATTTCTTGACAATATATAAAATATCATATTTTCTATCATCTTAACAGCGCAAAAGGAATATTAATGAAATGCCAAGAATAAGAAATCAACAATTTATTTAAACGGAATCCCCACCTTCTTCTTTGATTATTGTAATGTTTTAAATGAAATTGGATTATATTTGGAAACCCCTAAGGCAGGGGCCTGAGACATATGGCCCTGCTGCCCCTCCCCCAGTATGGGTCTGTGACTGTAAGTACGTTTATATGGTAACAGTATTATTGTGCTTAATTAAGCGCCATACCATGAAACCATGCGGGGATGGAGGTATAACTTCACGTATTCTTAATCACTTTTCTTGGTGAAGTTTCACCCCCCCCCCCGGCTCTATTCCGGGGATAAATTCCCAATACGCACTGGATAGGAATCTAAGTCAGTCATAGACTCTGTCTGGATGTTTAGGAGAAGAGAAAATTCTCTGCATCTCCTGAGATTCGAACTCCAATACCCCGAAAGTCCTGCAAATGTCCTGCCCATTAAACTGACCCTGCCTTTTCAGCTGCATGTATGTACATATGCATATATGTAATGAATATATGTATGTAATATATGTGTGTACGTGTATATGTGTACATATACATGCATTTCTTGCAGTGAGCATGGTTTCAAGCAACATTCCTTGTGTATTCAATGAAAAATTTTGTATTTTTTCATGGGATAGTATATGTGACTGTAGACGGGGTTTGAATTGTTAATTGGATTTATGGAACACTTATAGATTGTAAGTGCAAGTAACTATTACGCCGTAACTAATTCACGCACTCAGCAATTCACTACAGTACGTACTAAGTCTTCTCAGTCTGTTGTGTCTTCACCAGTCGTTGTCTGGTAACAGATTCCAAAGCCGTAGATCCCTCAACTTCTGTGTTCATGTCCTGAATGGCTGAAGACTGTCTCACGACTAACTAAATTCTAGATTTGTCGTGCTTATAACACCTTGGCACGGACCGCACAAAAAAAAACTTTCTCAACCGCTCTTTTATTGCTGTGTCACGTAGCTGTTGCTCGGACCGCGTAGAAAACACCACTTCCCAGTTACTTCATTGGTGCGTGTTAGGAATCTGTTGCAGTCATAACGTAGCAACAGCCGTTGTTTACACAAGCATCATTTGGTATATATGCTACAATATTACAGTAAGGTAAAACGTTAAAGTTGTCCCTGTGCTTAAGTAATTAAGCATTACACAATGAAGGCGTATTTTTCTTGGCCTCGACACAAGCTGTAGGTGAGTGTTCAGCTTCACATCCCTGCCGCTTTACCCGCGGGGAAACAGCCCCCTCGGTACTCATTGGATAGGAGGCTGGGTGGACCTCATACTTGATCTGGGGGACGTGGAGACGAAAAAATTCTTTAACCTTCCGGGACTTGAACTCCGACCCCTCTGTCGTTCAGCCCTTATCCAGTCGCTATACAAACTACGCTATCCCGGATTGTACATTATAATAAACTATAAAGATAACTACTTCCATTGAGCAGAGTTGTCCTTGAGAAGCTGATAGCCGTTCTGGTAGCCTAGAAATGCCAACATTTTACGGACTCCAATATTCATTATCATGTTCACAAAATCCCTTCATTTGTCCCTATAGTGGGTCAGATCTATATAGTCCTCATCGTTGTATTCTATTTCTTTAAGATCCACTTTAATATTGTACTTCCACACATGCCTGTGTCTTTCAGGTGTACCATTATTTGTGTTTTGTCGATTAAAATCTTTGTGATTGCTACAGAATGTGTTACATCCCCTTTCATCCCCTTAATAGGGTAAAATCTGGTGGTGTTACAATGAATGGAGCCGCTCATTATTCTATTTTTCGTGGTAAACGGTGAAGTTATCCCTGTGATTAATAAATAAAGCACCACAAGACGAAGGCAAGTGGGGGAATTGAGGTATAGCTCCACTTTTAGCAGTTTAACTTAGGAATTATGTCTACCCTTCTTGAGCTTTCGCTCTTTCTGGTTTAAACCTTCTCTTCAGCACGCTGTTCTCAGACCATTTTAATGTACTGTAAAGGTTAATGTACGTTCAATTGATCTACAAAAACAGATATATTTGCCCGTGTGCGTGTATTAGTGACTAAAGGCGGGGTTCGGATTGGTAATTGTATTTATTGACCACTCACAGGTCGTAACTACAAATAAATATAACACTGTTACTGATTTTCACACTACAAATCACTTGACGCCGATCTTCTCAGTATATTTCCGCTAATCTTCACTATCCGTTTCCTGTCAACGGATCTATAACACCGGAACTATAAAAGTCTTACTAAATCACACACTCCCAATATTCCTATACTACAGAGCACATAAAATCTTCAAACCACACGTTAAGTCTTCACAGGCTAACTTCTTGTATTCTTCTGTACTCCTCCAGCTTACCCCTTACTGCTGTACTACAACAGTTTACTTAACTATATTCCAACAACTTATTGCTGTACTCCTGCAGCTTACTATTACTGATACTGTCCTGCCAAGCTCTTCTTATAACCACTTTGAACGGACCATGCGCAGAAAACACATGTTACATGATGGCTACCCAGCTTGTCCATTGGCGCATTAGCCGCTGCCTAGCAACTGTCTCGGTACGGACCTATAGAAAACACGTCACGTGACAGCTACCCACTGTTGTGTGACGTAACTGCGGACACAGAATCACTGCTCCAGGATTGTTGGCCTCGTGTCTGTTGCGGGTGTTCCTTAGCAATGGATTTACATATCACATTAGGTCGTACTGAAGTCTGTCGAAGGTTTTAAGAACGATCTCATCCTAACAATTTAAAGCCCAGTGGTTACTGCATACGACAGCTGCTGCAGCATGTAGTATAACTCTACAGACTGCCCACGCACTGTCTTTGTTTCGTGTAGTAACTGTATGAAGCTGAGCTCTCATTAAGAAGTCTCCAGTTTTGCAACTACTCCAGAATTTCCCAATTTATGGAACCCGGAGTTTTATTACTGCGTTCACAAGAGACCTCGAATGGTCCCTATCCTGATCCAGATCAATCTAGTCCACACCACTCCATCCTATCCCTACAAGGTCCATTTTAATATTGTGGCGTATACACTCGTTTGTTAAGTGGAGACTGTGTGAACAGCTGCCGTTGCTAAGTAACGCCAGCAACATACATGAATGCAACAAAAGAACAACGGGGTTATGCAACCAGTTTCTAAGCAACAGCTCTGCAGAGAAGTTCCCGCGGAAACGAACAAGCGTGCAACAATACGAGAATGGTGTTTTCGACGTGGTTCCCACCGAAAACTTACCTTGAAGAGAACTGAGTCTCAGTTGAAAGTCAGCATATGAAGAGAAAACTAGGAGGTAGGTGTGAAATGGCCACCAGCCTGGGACCCAGTTAGTTCAAGGTTTGAATCTGAGTCAAGCTCTGCAAGGAAGAATGAGAACAGATGATGCTATAGTCGAATTGACAGTCAATAAGAGTCAAGTTACGGGATATTCGCCAGCGAGTAATGACGTGAGCGCGGGAAGCTGCAGAATCTCTACTGTTGGAAGCCGTTGCTATGGAAGAGTTTTGAAGGCACAACAGGCTGGAAAAAGTCTTAGTGGGTGCTGTGGGTATCTGTGAATTGCAGAGATGAGCAGTGGCACTATAATTACTCTACTTCCGTCTGGTGTGTATAAGTGGTGAATATATCCATTCACCAATCCATACCCCGTCTATAGTCATGCATATAAATCGTGACTATATCTCTCCCATCTAGGTCTAGGTCTTCTTAGTGTTCTCTTTTCTTCTGGCTCTGCCACGGAAATCCTGTAACCATTCCTCGTGTCTGCGTTCTACGTGATCTGCCAATCTCACCCTCCTTAGCTTCATCATTTTAATTACACTTGGCGAAGAGTACAACTCATGAAGCCCCTCGTTATGCAGTAAATCTCAAAAT